TATGGCAAAAGTCTGGGAGCTGAGACTGCTTCATAAGCCTAGTCTGCCATATTTATTCACCTGCAGGGTACTTAAATTAATGCTCCCCAACCTCTCAAGAGCCTTTTCATACTTCAGTAACATTTTTATAGCTCCTGAAGGGTTTCCAGATGAAAGACGCATTGAAGAGCAAAATACTGCAATTACCTGCAGAAGTTAATATCACCCATATATCATCCAGATACAAGCAAAGTGTTGGCCTAAGTACATGACCCCAGTACTAACTCAAGGCTCCACCATAAGCATGTTCCAGGGAAGCACATGGCAAAGGAAACATTACTTCAGATCCACACTGAGAAAGAAAGTTTGAAGGAGATGTGATTTCAAATAACACAGCTGATGACACTGACTTTGGGTGATGGAGATCTGCACAAATGTTTACTTAAAAAACCAAACTTGCTGACCTCTGTTCAATTGCCTGACTACACTACCCATTGGTGGCTTACAGCCAAGGCTGAGGATGGCACAGGTCAGCACATGGGCATTGTTTTGCATGACAAGAGCAAAACAATTGATTTGCATTAACAAAACCTATGGGGAGGCTTGCTCAGAACCTGCCTATGGTAATTCAATTAACAAGATTTACTAGCCCATTTTGGTAAATGGAGAGAACCAAAGGATATTGGGCAAAGTTCTCCACAAGTTTAAATGGGTTCACTACCACTGTAGCCATTGGAATAGGTCCTGTATGTGTTATGCATGGCATAACTCACTATAGGTTCTTGGAGTATAAGACCAACAAGACCACTGTGATCAGTTATTTTGACTCCTTCCTTAATACAAGACACAGGACTTCCCTGAATCTTTGAAAACACAAATCTCTCTTTTGCCATAGAATGGAAAACCGTAAATGTATACGTTACTCTGAAGTACTTCTGTTTATATTACATAGGGTTCTATGAATAATTTGGGTTCGTTCCGTAGGACTTTTAAGTGAAAGGGAGCTGTTCTATCTCAGCTGGATCACAAATGAAACACCCTATAATATGCATAGAAGCACTTGTACAGTATAAATAATATTTTTAATCAGTCATTGAAATAATAATATAAAATTCATTTTATTAACGTTTGAAAAATAAATGTCTTCACCTTCCTTCATTGGACTTTAAAAGAGGAAAGTTTTACATTCCCTGTGAAAAAAATAAAGTAAAAAATGTTTAGAGAAATGAGCAATCTGACTGGTTAGAGATCACAAATCACTAATAATAATAAGCTCTGAATATCAGATGCCAAACAGCTGCGCAGCCTCTTAAACCTAATTCTTCTTTCTTGGAGGATATGGCAAGTTTCAAAAAGAAATGGTTGCCAAACCAACCACAAGATGTAGGCAGAAATTTTTCTTTGAATAAATCACTGTCACCCCTGATAAAACCAGGCACAAGTGTCTTGGCATGAGGGAATGCTGCAAATTGGTGTGCACAATGAAGACAAAGCCCATGAAGACTGCAGACAGAAAACACAGCCCCAGCCCCAATAGTGTAGTAAACAACTCACTCAAAAGCAGGAGGTGATAGGTGTAGAGTTTATTGGATATATCGCTAGATGTTGCGTGCTTTCCCATTACATGACAAGGTGCTATGCAGTTTATTCCATTGCAGTTTGCCACCTGGTATAACAATGTATAAAATTCAAAGAGAAAATATTTGGAAAAGTCATATGAATGTTCAGAAAGTAGATGGAAGATGATTATGCCTCTGAGTCCTTTCCTCACACTTGCACTTTACAGGGCAGGTGTCAAAATTTCAATTTATACATGTAAGAATTATGGAAAGTTTTAAATGCTCAGTATGGAATATTCATTCCTAACAAGTGCCAAATATCTCAGCTTTACAGATACTGGAAAAGTAATTCATCTACTACTCTTTGTAAGCTCCACTCATAGTCTTAATACCCTCTTATGTAAATACAAATCACTTCAATAATTGTTATTTTTCAGCACTTTGTATTATGGAAACATGGCATATTACAAAAAAGTATAGAGTATCCAGGCTTCTAGAAACCTGCGGGAGAGTTGTACAAGTCACAGTCTGTCAGCAGCATCTAAAGTTCCAGCCTCAGAAAATATTTATTCTGTGGAGCACCCTTCTCTGCCCTGAACCATTTGTACTTTGTCAGATATCAGAGCAGAAATGTAGTAAACTGTGTAACCTGCAGTGCCCAGGGAACAACAAGTTTCGGTTTAAAAAAATAAATTAACTTTCACAACTTGACAACTTTGTGCTTTGTTTCTGTTATTTTTTTCTCCTGAATCACTGGAAGTAAGTTACACATTAGCTTGTCATGGGGAAACAAGAAATATCTGACTAGAAAAGGTTGATTCCTCTCTGATTTACTCTGTAGTCATTCTGTGTTCCTCCTGTCAAGCTTCATCCAGGGTCATCCAGAATTTTTAATTAATACAGACTAGTATGGTGGCAAAAGAGTTTGTAGAGAGATAGGAAAGATTCCTCCTTAGTGAAAGAAGACGGGGTTGCAGAAAACCAGTATTGCACTAGTTGAAAAGGCAGTTCAGTTACAATGATGCACAGGAACAAAATGATTTCTCAAATCCAAGCCATTTAATAGAAGAGCTGACTGATGCAGCTAATTAGAAGATGGGTGAACAGGGAAGCATGTGGTTAAAATCCTGCTCTTCTGGGACCAAGGGTTCCCTCCTATTTTGGATTCACATTTTGAAATGCTGCTCTGGAGCTGAGAAGGGAGGGCTTACTTCAACACTGAATCTAGAGCAGTCCTTTTTTTTCACAGCTGAAAAAATACCATTTCCTCCTCATTTGTCACTGCTGACAACACCTTAGCTACAGTAATTTTGGGGGATCAGGCTATCACTGCTCAAGTCTTTCTTCTGTGTAGGTGTTTTGGAAGGATCAAACATGGCCCTGTAGCATCACTGAGTGGGAGAAAGGGAGTCTTGGATGCCAGTGAATACTTAATATGATCCAGATGAAGCTAAAAATAGCCCTTCCAGGAGAATCCCCTCATGCTTATTCTTCAGATCATATAGCTGGTTTTGCCTGTATGCTGCCTGAATACAGCAAGTGCTCCTTCCATTCTCCCTCTCACATAGGTCCGTCACATAACCTACAAAACAAGCTAAGCCCTGGTGGCTGGGGTACTTCTCTCAGGGGCTTCCACATGGTTTGTGAGAAGTAAAATGATGGTGGTGTTGGATAAAAGAGAGGGAATGACCACATTATGCCTGGAGCCCATTCTATAGGGTGTGGGCTGAGAGCAGGCTGAGCAGAAAGATGTTTAATTTGTTCCCTCTGTCAGGGCACAGAGATAATTTAACCACTGAGTTGCTTAGTGCTGCCAGAACTGAGGCAGCTGAAAGCTGAGGACCAAAGCTGAAGCACCTGGGGATGCACTTGAAGATTATGGACTTTCTTAACACAAAGGTGAGTCAGCTGCTGAAAAAAGTATGTGGTTGCATTTATAAGTACGGAGATGTAATTCAGGAAAAACATAGCTGGCTTAAGATTTCATTTGTGGATTTCTTAGTCCTCTGTGATGCTGAACAAGCTAGGACATCTATTGGTTCACCTGTCTTCCATTTGTACACTGGGATAATAACAGTTGTTCTAAACAAAACCTTATTATAGAAGGGCTTTCTTCTAAGTAATATTGGAGCCAACAGGTGTATTTTTCATCCATAGTTCCTGTCCCTATGTAACTTTCCTCTAGCAACTGAAGCTCAAGCAGTGCAGGGTCAGATGCATAGTCCACAATCCCAGTGAAGAATGCCATTGACCAATTTTATCCAAGATTCCCTGGGCATGGCCTCTAACAAACAAGAAGCGGCTTTGGGGCTAGAATACACCCTGGCAACAGCACGGAGATGGTTATCAGAATCTCTGTGGTAGTTGCCATCATGCAAGATTATGGCAAAGTTTGACTTCACAGACTATATCACTATGGCTTTCAAATAGCCTGCCTGGATTATCCCAATCTGTTCCTTCTATCTTCATTACTTACTACTGTGCAATAAGTATTATGTAATGTCTGTGACTTGTAAACATTCGATTATAAATTCAAATATCTGTAAAATTCACAGTTAAATATTAGATAGGTTGAAACACAGATGTTTCTGCTGGAATTAGTCCAGAAAGCCAGATTTAACCCCATGACTTCCCAGCAAAACAATTACAGATCTTGAAGGACAGGAGTATGGCTGGGACCAGTCACTCCAACCATGGCCTCCGTGTGTACTCAGGGAAAACTTACAATTCCTTGACTACAGGATCTGAAACTTTGTCATTAGTTATACCATACACTCATCTATTTCAGTCCCTTCTCTGTCATCCTGCTTACAACTGTCCCCACATCACCCTTCTTTTGTGCACTCAGCTGGGGGTGTGCAATAACTACCCTGCTGCATCCAGTGGCTGTAACAACTCTCCTCCCACAGCTAAACAACTGGTGCTTTGGCCCTTCATGTTCCCTGTGCTGCAGGATCTTCTGCCCTCAGCTCTGAACTTAACACAGTTGCAACCTTACGAGGGTGTCCTTCATTGAGTATGTCATAGACTATGAATAAATGAATTTATGAAAAACATTTGAAATAATTCCATTGGTCATGCATCACAGTGCTTTTAAGTTACTTGGAGGTGCTTTCAGTGTCTGCTGTGGGACCTATCCATAAAAGATCATGGAAGTGTTTTCCTGGTACCACAGGTACCAGGCAACAGTGTATTCAAGTCATATTAACTGCAAATGGAGCAATCAGCAATTTCCAAACTTCATGTATTTCATCACAAACCTTGTTCCCGAAAAGTCTAGGAAATAGACATGTAAGCTTACTGCACTGTATCTCTTCCACGTATTCCAGAATAAACGGGTAAACTTTCCCAGTCACTCAAAACAGGTGACTAACAACAGAAAATATCTTGTTTCTCTCCCCTTAGATCTCCTAAGCAATCATTTTCCCTGCTCCATGAGCAGTGACAAATCCTCCAATATTAGAACTGAGTTATAGCTGTGGAGATAGTGCCATTAGTAACTTATCTGCCGAGAACAACTAGTGCCTGTTTCCTTGTTTGGTTAAACAGTCTTGCCCTCATCCTACCTCAACATTTCCTGCACATAAAGATAAAGCTGATGTCTCTGCTTGCCAACAAACTGCTGTGACAAAAACCAATAGGAAAAACATAAAGCCAGCAACTTAAAACTGTTGGCTGCTCACTGCAAAGACCTCTGGAATGCAAAGACTGTTCATTGCAAGCGGAATTCCAGGCACATGAACACAGGTTGGAAAGGACTTGCTACCTTCAGTCTTCTTGGGATTGACAAGAGATTATAAGGATGACATTTTAAGGAAGGAATTGTTTATTTGTGATAGAAACGGGAAAAACAAACCCTTGGTTACTTTTTGAACTATGAGCAGCTTTCAGAGACATTTCTCTTATCAAAATGTCTTGCAGAATCTGAGGGTGGGGAAATGGTTGGAGAGCTCATAACTTTTCAGAACTACAGTTAAACAAGTGAAAATGCAGCCCAGGAACTGGCAGAAAACTGCCTTTCTGTGAGCAGGGAGTTGACTGAGAAACCTTGCAATGACCCAGGAGTTGGTGGGAAAGGACAGGGAGATTAATGTGATTCTGAACAGACAAGCAGCCCTTACGGAAAACATGATGCACCGAAGCTTCCCTCCTACTATCTCTGTTCCTCAGCACCATTTTGCATCCTGAAGTGACTCTGTCTCTGGATCCCCAGGCCTCCAGAGGGTCATCAGACTGGAAAAAACAGGTCCTCGAGGATTCAAAACACAGCTTCTTCTCCTAAGGCACTGACCACAGCAGTGCCCACCTCAGATCCCTCCAACCCAAGTAAGACTTTATTGCTGCAATAATATTGCTTTCAGCTTTTCAAATGCCTGAAGGGTCATTAGGCAGAAAACCCACAGCCACAAACAGCTGTATCCTGTAATGTTCAGGGCTGTGGGAGCTGTCTGCATTGCACTGTCACTGATAAGTTCAAAACACAATATTTGCCCCATTTTCCTTTTTTTTCTTTTTTTTTTTTTTTTTTTTTTAATTTATAGTGCTCACAGTATGCATTCACCATTTTCCCATGTTTGCATCTTTGCACTTTGAGGGCTTTTTAAGAAAAAAAACAACTTTTTATTATTTTATTTACTTGTTGCTATAATTTTAGTTTGCATTTAATACCAATTCAGTATTGCAATTCATACCAATACCAATTCAGCTTTAAATGACTGAAAAATGTAGATTTTTTTAGACCCTTATTTGCAGGAGTTAAGAAGCTTGTGACACACTCAGGGAGACAAAGGTCCAGTTTAATATCCTTTAAAAGCAATCTAACTTGTACTCAAGAAAAGCACTCCACAAAATGAGTTAATGGGTGGTAAACAGCTCCAAATCATGCTAATTCTCCAAATCAGAATACCTGCATAGCCCAGGCAATGTCATCTTACCTGCTTCATCTAAATGCATGCTCCAATGCCATCCTGATATTCTCCAGCTAATTATTAAGTTAATTGTTGTTTATTGGTGTGGTTTTTGTTATTGTTGTTGTTGTTATTCAGTCAATATTTTATCAAGGGAGGTAGAGTATGTAGTCATCAAGGAGAAGATAAGACTAATTGGCAGTCACTATTACCCAGTCATCCTGAGAGTTAAATTTGGTTTCTGGTACTGTTTCTGCCACCAAAGGCCCTCCCAGATAATGCTCAGGCATGTTTTAGGTAGCTCAGTCTAGGGTTGACCCCTTTTTCTGCTTTGGAGGAGTAAGAAAGCCCCACAGTATGAATGGGAGTCATGCCCTTTGTCATTTGTCCCAGTGACCTCAGGAACAAATACTGGTCTTTAGCCCATATAATTTCCTAATACAGATGTTGTTCCTCTGCCCACAGTGGACTTGAGAACTCATTTTCATTAAAAATAGAGGAATGAGCTGCTGCAGTCCTAGCACTGTGCATCAGATCATTACAAATCCTTCTGGAACTGCCTGATTAATCCTTTGTTATTCAGACTTTCTGCCAGCACCCTGTCACTGCCTCTCATCCTAATCCTGCTGCACAATCCCTTCCCATCAGGTAACACTCAGTTCGACTGCCCAGAAGGGCAACGCACAGGGTGAGGTGTCTTCAGGACTGTGCTTTGAGAGTGTTCAGTCTGGACTGGAAAGGCCTATAAGTAACATAATAAATGTATGGACAGACTATTTCCCATCGGATACAAAAAAATATACAGAGAAAGTCTGGGCTAAAAGGCTTTTGGTTTTGGTGTCCTGAACTCAGAAGTTACAAAGTGAAGCAAAGCAACATTTACAACTGTCAGATGAAGTCAATACTATATATTCTTTAATTACAAAAAAAATGAAAGGAACTGAAGATTTATAAGACAGGTCTCTCATCTAGGATGAATCCCAGTTGATACTTAGGACTGGTATTGAAGCTAATTCCAGTTATCCCAAGCTGTATGTACCTCCTTTTTCTATTTGCGTCACACCTTTCAGCCTACTCCAAAGATTAAAATGTTTTCCTGAAAGACCTTTCTAGAAATCAGTTTCCAAACTCATTTTCCTCTTGCTGGAACTGTCTCAAAAGAGAGGAGTCACAGAGAGTCCCACTGTTAAGGTGCAGCTTGGGCTTCAGAGAAGGTTTTGATCTTGTGGCCAAAGATTCTTCTGTCTCTTCTACCTGCTAGTAGGACTAGTTTTTTGCAATTCTCCACACTCCTGCCTTTTCCACTTGTTTCACTTATGTCTGTGTGACAATCTTGCTTTTTTTTTTTAATCCTGATCTCAGTTTTAGGCTCCTACCCACCCAAGTCACTGCCACAGTTTAATGTTCGTGTAAGTCAATTTGCACCAAAGAGGGATCCTACTCTTTCTCCACATTCCAAACATGCTCCTTCACCTATCCTTGACTGCAGTTGTCAGTTCTTCTCCCATATCTGAAAGCCTATGTATAGTATTAGTGTTCTGTGAGGAAGTGGGATGGCTCCTATGACTGGAGTGTTGGAATGGAAGGTTACAGACTCTTTAGAAAAGACAGGCCTGGCAGGCGCAGAGGGGGAGTTGCCCTTTATGTTAGGGATAGGCTGGAGAGTATGGAGCTCTGCCTGGGGACTGGTGAGCAGTTAACAGAGAGTTTGTGGGTCAGGGTTAAAGGGAAAATAGCGATGGAAGACATTACTGTGGGGATCTGTTACAGACCGCCTGATCAAGAGGAATCTGTGGATGAAGCACTCTATAGGCAGATAGGAAAAGCCTCACGCTCACAGGCCCTCGTTCTCATGGGTGACTTCAATCACCCTGACATCTGCTGGAATGACGGTACGGACCAGCACAAGCAATCCAGGAGGTTCCTCGATTGTGTGAAAGACAACTTCCTTCTGCAAGTAATAGAGGAAGCGACAAGGAGAGGTGCCATGCTTCACCTTCTGCTCACCAACAGGGAAGGGCTCACTGGAAATGTGGCACTGCAGGGCAGCCTTGGATGCAGCGACCAGGAGATGGTTTAATTTGAGATCCTTAGGACAGTGAGAAGAGCGTGCAGCAAGCTCACAGCCATAGACTTCAAAATAGCAGACTTTGGCCTCTTCAGGAGCCTGCTTAGTAAGGTTCCATGGGATATAGCCCTAGAGGGCAGGGGGGCTCAAGACTCTTGGTTAGTCTTCAAGGATCACCCGCTACAAGCTCAGGAGTGTTGCATACCAACCAGAAGGAAGTGCAGCAGGAGGGCCAGGAGACCTCCTTGGATGGATAAGGAGCTGCTGAGGAAAATGCAAATGAAAAAAAGAGTTCTACAGAAAGTGGAAGCAAGGACAGGCAGCCTGGGAAGAGTACAGGGATGTTGTCCAGGAAGCTAGGGACCAGGTTAAGAAAGCTAAGGCCCAGTTAGAATTAAACTTGGCTAGGGATATTAAGGATAACAGGAAGGGATTCTACAGGTACATAGCAAATAAAAAACAGATTAGGGAGAATGTAGGCCCCCTCAGGAAGCTCTCGGGTGAGCTAGCTACCCTGGATTTGGAGAAGGCTGAGGTTCTGAATGACTTCTTTGCCTCGGTCTTCTCTAGCAAAGGCTCTGACCGCACCACCCAAGTCTTGGAAGGCAGACGCAGGGACTGTGAGAATGGAGACCTTTGGCCCCCTGTAGGATAGGAATTGGTTCGAGACCATCTTAAAAATCTGAACGTGCACAAGTCCATGGGTCCTGATGAAATCCATCCGCAGGTGCTGAAGGAGCTGGCGAATGAAGTTGCTAAGCCACTGACCATCATATTTGAAAGATCATGGCAGTCAGGTGAAGCTCCTGACGACTGGAAAAAGGGACATATAACCCCCATTTTCAAGAAGGGGAAAATGGATGACCCAGGCAATTACAGATCAGTCAGTCTCACCTCTGTGCAAAATCTTGAAGGAGATTGTCCTAGAAAGCATGCTAAGGGAAATGAAAAACAACAAGGTGCTCGGTGACAGCCAGCATGGTTTCACTAAGGGGAAATCCTGCCTGACCAATTTGGCGGCCTTTTATGATGGGGCTACAGAACTGATGGACAGCCGTAGAGCAGTTGATGTCATCTACCTGGATTTGTGTGAAGCGTTCGACACTGTCCCACACGACATCCTTGTCTCTAAATTGGAGAGACACCAATTTGACAGATGGACCATTCAGTGGATAAAGGACTGGCTGGATGGCCGCACACAAAGGGTTGTGGTCAATGGCTCAATGTCCAGCTGGAGACCTGTAACGAGTGGTGTCCCGCAGGGATCGGTGTTGGGACCGATCTTTTTTAACATTTTCATCGCTGACATGGACAGTGGGATTGAGTGCACCCTCAGCAAGTTTGCCGATGACACCAAGCTGTGTGGTTCGGTTGATATGCTGGAGGGAAGGAATGCCATCCAGAGGGACCTTGACACGCTTGTGAGGTGGGCTGCTGCCAACTTCATGAAGTTTAACCATGCCACGTGCAAGGTCCTACACCTGGGTTGGGGCAATCTCTGACACAGCTACAGGCTGGGCAGAGAGGAGATTCAGAGCAGCCCTGCGGGGAAGGACTTGGGGGTGCTGGTCGATGAGAAAATGAACATGAGCCAGCTTCAGTGTGCACTTGCAGCCTGGAAAGCCAACTGTATCCTGGGCTGCATCGAAAGGAGCGTGACCAGCAGGTTGAAGGAGGTGACCCTGCCCCTTTATTCTGCTCTCGTGAGACCTCACTTGGAGTATTGTGTGCAGTTTTGGTGTCCTCAACATAAAAATGACATGGATCTGTTGGAACAAGTCCAGAGGAGGGCCACGAGAATGATCAGGGGACTGGAGCACCTCCCATATGAAGATCGGCTGAGAAAGTTGGGGCTGTTCAGCCTAGTGAAGAGAAGGCTGTGTGGAGGCCTCATAGCAGTCTTCCAGTATCTGAAGGGGGCCTACAGAGATGCTGGGGAGGGACTCGTCATTAGGGACTGTAGTGATAGGACAAGGGGTAATGGGTTAAAACTTAAACAGGGGAAGTTTAGATTGGATATAAGGAGGAAATTCTTTCATGTTAAGTTGGTGAGGCACTGGAATAGGTTGCCCAAGGAGGTTGTGAATGCTCCATCCCTGGCAGTGTTCAAGGCCAGGTTGGACGAGGCTTTGGGTGATACGGTTTAGAGCGAGGTGTCCTTGCCCATGATAGGGTGGTTAGAACTAGATGATCTCAAGGTCCTTTCCAACCCTAACCATTCCATGATCCTATGATTCTAAGTCACCTGCATTTTTTAGCATGGGACAAGAAATTATTTTTCATAATTTTAAAAAATAATTGTTGTGTTTACCTAAGTTGTCCTTATATTATTTTTTTCAAGCTAACACCCACCATCAAAAGTCACAATGCTGGTTGTGACAGTTCAGAAAAATCATAAAGAAGTCAGAATAGTGCTAGTTTGTATCAAACTTCTGAATTCCTCTTTATAAGCAGAAGCTTGCACTTGTTTGAAGGAACCTAGGAATTCCATGCTTCATTTATGTCTTCTGTCCTACCAAAAGACTACCTCATCTACTGGAACAAAGGCCACATGCTGAAAGGAACACATACATCTTCATGATATATGTTTGGCTCACAGCCTGAAGCCTCAGCTCTGTATCTGGAGATGTTTCAATAGGTTTGGTAGAATGGTTGTTAAAATTGACTGCCAAGTCCTGAGACAGCTGCTAAAAGCTGCCTCCAGCAAGCACTGCTCCTGGTGGTTCTTGTCCTCTCTCATTATTTTCAGAGCTTGCTCCTCCCTCTACTGACACCCACTTGTTTGTGCTTGGGTTTGGAGTCCCTGGGTGCACCCCGTGGCCCCATCTGCATTTGCAGTGCTCTCATCACCTGTATTACTTTGGCCACACAGCCTCTGTGACCCCTTTGGCCCACCACTGAATTTGAAGAAGTATGAAACCAAACCAGGTCCTTCACTGAGGCAGCAGGCACTGGACTCTCTGAAGGGAGGACTTTTAATGCTTTCTATCCTTCAGGGCAAAGGAAATCAAGATAATTAAAACCAGTGAACTCAGGGAGGTGTTAGCTGCTGCCTCACACATTGGGTTTATAGGCTGAATCTTGTTCTCTTTAGGCTTCCAGATTTTTCTCAGTTACTATTTCTCCTGTCACATACTCACTGTTTCTTCTGTCATACACTCACTGCTTGTGCCTGCGCTTTGGAAAAACTTTTCTACAGTCCTGCACTTCATCAGTATAATAATTATTTCAGGCTTCCCTGTTAGACATAGCAAGCTAGTGTGAGGCACAGGGCAGTGAAAGGAAGTCTTCTTCTTAGTTTCAATATGCTTTGAATGAGGTAGTTTTTCTTGATAAATCCTTTTTTTTTTTTTCTTTTTTTCCCTCTTCTTCTTTCATTCACTGTGGTATTCATTATGTGTGTGAATGTGTGTGACTGTGTGTTTGTGATCTCCATCTCGAATTTTAGAGCTGGAAAAGTTACAAATTTGGGAGATAAACTCTAAAGGCATCATCGATGAAGCATTGAAGCCAATTCCATGTTTTAATCCTGCATAAATTATCCTGGAACACAGCCCACATATATGATGTGTGAGAGAAC